ACTGAACCACTACAGGGCACCTTCTCCAACGTTCAAACGGCAAGCTGTTTTTATCTACCACTTACCGCTGTTGGCGGGCATCTCGGGGGAAACTATCGTGTTTCCAGCATTATCAGCAAGATGACGCAATGAGCGCGCGGCGGCTCTCATCTCTCACGCGTACTTTAGTCCGCAGAGAGGAGGTGAGTGGACGATATCTCGCACGCCCTTATCTTCAGGTGGGGACGATCACACGTCTTGGCTGGAGTTGGGCTTACGCTGGAACAATTCTGTTGCAGTAACTGGGGCGCACGAAGGTCACTGCAATTGTTGAACAGCCTCCGTTTGCGAAAAAGGCGTGCTTTTCAGACACAGCGAAGTAACAACTGATACGCTTGTTCGCGTTCATCTGTACCTGTGAGTACATTTCGTGCGTCACTTATGTGTGAGAATCGCGGGGCACGTTTCGATCTGCTTGCCATTCTGCGCGTGACATTCCAATTTGTTGCTATCGCGTTCATTCCTTCGCCTTTGCGGCAAAGCTGTGGCTTTTTTTTTCCTCAAGCTCTAAAAGAACTTTGTTGTTGAAAAGTTTTTCTATCTCTTTCCTTTTTGTTATTTCCTTTCCCCCACACCAAGTGTAGGGTAGCCGACCGAGCCAAGCTTGGTTAACCTCTCAGCCTTTCTTCTCTAATCATCTCTCTTACTCTCTCTCTCTCTCTCTCTCTAAGCAGCGTTTGCGTCAGTATGCAACGCAAGAGGAGACTACAAGCATGAATGAAATTAGCTACGACGAGTCAAATTCCTCGGCAGATCCTGACGGGGCGTTTCAGTCTTCAGTGCCTCAAAACTCAAGACTTTGCCTTCCAGTTCTCATGGCGACCGTGTAAGACATCCTTAAAATTATCGTTACTGGGCAAAGAAAACAACGCGCGCGATAGGATAAATTCGCTGGCCACAGCGAGTTGATTGTAAAGTATGCGCGAAACACGCATGTTACGAGCGACTACGGCCGACGTTCACGCTTGAGGGACTCTCTTTACATCAGCACAACTGGGAAGCCAACAACGTCAACTTTCATTAGAGGCAGCGTTGAAAACGAGCCAGACGTGCAAACAGCCTGGGAAGAATAACGGCGCGCAGCCGGCCATGAATTCCACTGAGAGCGTCAAAAGAAAGTTTTACAGGAAAGTGAGGAGCCTGTAGTAAGCAGAATCACCGAGTCAACTTGGACAGGAAAACAAGATAACTAAAAAAAAAAAGAACGAACCACAAAAAAAAACACTTTCGTGTGTTCGTCTGCTTGCAGAAGTCTTGCCGAGACGCCACCGCAGCGGAACCAACAAGGCCGATAACACGGCCCAACTGGGACGCTCGTTAACTCAATCAAGAAACAGAACAAAAGTACAAAGTGCAACAGACTGTTTCATTAGATCCACTGCTGACCCCAAGCATGCTTTCTTATTTGCCGACACATAACTGCATTGTAGGATAGTCCCACTAGAAGCCATGGTTGCGCTTTTCTGAGTTAATTCTGACAAGTGTGTCTAGATGCTCGCGCATCAAGACACCTTATTTCTGACAACTGACAGCACAGTTCTGACTTCTGTCCAATTTAATTAGAGTTTTTGTAATGAACAACGGATTGACAGGCAGTGTTTCAGTGTTGTGCCCTAAAGTAGGCTCTCAATGTTCCGTAACAGCAGTTGCATGTTACAAGATTGCGTTAGAAATAAAATGCACTAGTAGTACAGAGGTAGCGCTACAGCCTCGTTTCGTTTAAATTCATTTAACAATAAACTTAGCCACACTTAAACTAAATTCTTCGTTTTGAAACAATGCAAGAGATTGATTGATTGATTTGTGGGGTTTAACGTCCCAAAACCACCATTTGATTATGAGAGACGCCGTAGTGGAGGGCTCCGGAAATTTTGACCACCTGGGGTTCTTTAACGTGCACCCAAATCTGAGTACACGGGCCTACAACATTTCCGCCTCCATCGGAAATGCAGCCGCCGCAGCCGGGAATCGAACCCGCGACCTGCGGGTCAGCAGCCGAGTACCTTAGCCACTAGACCACCGCGGCGGGGCAACAATGCAAGAGACGTGAATGGATCTACATCGAAAACGATGGGACAATCAATGGCACAAGGAAAGGCTAACTTAATTCAACTCAATGCATAACAAGCTTTTGAAGTAAAACAAAGAATTCTACCTTTAGTATACAACCACCATTTTCCATAGAGAGGGCACCCATACAACGGCGCTGTATACAGAGACGGTCAAGAGCCAAACACGAACAACCACACACACACGATTTCATACAGGACGAACACGTGTCCAGAGACATAAGCGACGCTGCACGTGGCAGATATATGAGAACACACACACCGATCGTCACACCTGAATACACGGATAAAGTAGAACTTGTCGTTGTTTATGACAAGCTTATGACAAGTTGTTTATGACAAACGTTGTTTGTGACAAACTTCGCGCGAAACATACTTATACGCATACAAGGAAACATCAAGAACGAGTGCTATATGTTAACTCTTGACCTTTAGTTACCCACAAATTTCACTAAATACGTGTAACATTTTCGCAATGGCAGCCAAGCTTTTCTTATCAGACTATAGCTGAGACGACACGAAGGCGAGTGACGTTTCAGTGATGGTGTGATACTGCAACATCCAAACGGAATGCGACAAGCCGTATGACTCGTAGTAGTATGTGTAGTTTCACGTCCCAAAACCACGATATGATAAAGGGACGCCGCAGTGGAGGGCTCCGAAAATTTCGAACATCTGGGGTTCTTTAACGTGCATTACCAACGCACAGTATACACAGGCCTATGTCACTTCTCCATCGGAATGTTTGATATGTGGGGTTTAATGTCTCAAAACCACTATATGATTATGAGAGACGCCGTAGTGGAGGGCTCCGGAAATTAAGACCACGTGGGGTTCTTTAACGTGCACCCAAATCTGAGCACACGGGCCTACAACATTTCCGCCTCCATAGGAAATGCAGCCGCCGCAGCCGGGATACGAACCCGCGCCCTGCGGGTAAGCAGCCGAGTACCTTAGCCACTAGACCACCACGGCGGGGACTCCATCCGATTCCTCCATCGGAATGTTACCGCCGAGGTCGAAACCGCGACTTTTGGGTAATTAAGCAGCCAGGCACCGTATAGCTTCCAATTCACCAAGGTGGACCTCGGATCGTCGTGCCTCACTTGGGGCTTGTCGGGCCTCCCCTGCAGCCTCGCGTACTTCGGCCTTCCATGGAATCCCCTATGCCTTTGCTCAGCGCATTCCGTATATAGCGCGCCCTTTATGCCGGTTACTTCATAACCAGCACTGATAAAAGGAGGCTTTGTCGCTGCCTTCAGAACAGAAGAAAAGTTTTGAAGAAGGAATGTCCTTCGAACCAGCATTTCGGCAGGTGGATTTGTCTTCGCGAAGGCAACCCCATTCGAAACGGTGGCTTTAACGACATACTCCTATTTATAATTTTTAGAGCGCAGATCTTAGGCCCCTACTTCTACATTGAGTGGTGTCGCCGACGGTGGTGTTAGCGACAGACACAAAAAAATAAATAAGAAAAAAATGTCCGCGAATAAATGGTATTTGAACCCAAGCCCTCTGCAGAGCGAAGCTGGTGCTTGAAACTATGTCGCAAAAAAAAACATTAACCATGTTTTAGCTAAAAGCCTCTCGGGCTTTTTTTTTCAATTCTCGTCATAGCACGAACTTTCTTCAGCATTACACAGTGCCAGAATTCATATATATCTATAAATATATCATGGCACAAGAATAGAATAACGACGAGTCATCACACAATGTTGATTAGGCAACGTGTGCGTAGTTTCTTGCTTCCCACCCGCTGCAAAGTAATCATCTATAATTCTTAATCGTCGTCAGCAACATGCATCTTCAGAAAACCGCACATAATATCTTATCCATGTGTAGCAGGTACCTAAGCTACCCACAGGAAGACGAATAATGACAAAGTGGGTGCTGTCCTTCACAAAAGTTATTATTTACGGCACAGTCGATACCATGCATAAAGCCAGAAATTTAAACACAGTTGGTCAGCGCTCTATTTCGAAGCTGCGCTCAAAATTCGCGTCAGAAACTATCTTAATCGTAAGTGAATTTTAAATCTCTTCACGCCTCCATCTTTCCCTAAACTTTCGAAACAGCCGACGGTATGCCAGATCACGTGAGCGCCACTTCGTAGTACTTTTTTTTTTGTCACGCAAACACCGCAACGACAAAGTGAGCACATAGCTCACGTGGTCACGTGATAATCTTCGCTGCTTTTCTCCTTCGCCGCTCGCGCCACCTTTTCGCCCAGGGTCACGTACGCACGAGAAATACGCGGCTTTCACCATAAATATGCAAATAAGGTTGCTCTTACGGGGCATATGCCACCTCTTCAGTCTGTGAAGAACAAAAGCCCAAAAGGCTGATTCTAAAGAGTAAGAAAAAAAACTAATCTCGGCAACTGCAGGTTCTCTAACGAAATTGCCGCTCCTGCCAGTGAAAAAAAGCTCGGGATTCGCACAGCTTTTTGCTCATAAATTGTGTTTGCCTTCGAACGACCGACTTTGATGCTGTACGTGCAGGACATCCCGATTCGCTAGTATCGGCGCTTAGAAAGAACTGCGGCATTGTTCGTATTTTCGAAACAAGTTCGAAAATTTCATGATGAAGCTTCTCCTTTCCCGTTACTTTCCCAGATTATGTACGGTTTCCTTAAGAGTCAGACATAAACAAATAAAAAAATACGTGTTGCCCTTGAAGAAACTTGAATCATGCCGAATAAATTCAAGAATAAATTTTACAGGTGCCAAATAACTGCCCTGCCTTTCTTTGAGTTGGTTCTGCTTAATTCGCTTGCTAATAAACACGCGTGATGATTTAACCGTCACTTCAAGAGAGTATTTCATTCTCGCAAGCTTCAGATTGAATCCCGTGGCGCACAAAAAAAAACTATGCAAGTTCACTTACCAGTCGACTCTAGCTGGTAATTTAGTTTCTCCCAACGCAGGTCGGACACAACCTGAAAAGAGAAAAACGACGTATTATTAACGAGTTCGCAATAAATGAGAGAAATTACCCATTAAAAAACAGTGAGCACCAAAGCTCTTTAGGGACATTGATTATTGATAAAGTAATGTTGATAAAGCTGTAAAACACGAGAACCCTAAAAAAAAATCACAGCATATCTACGATGTGAATGACGGTGAGTGGGCGAAGCTCTGAGGCAATATTATAACGCCCGCACATTGCCCACTCCATCTTGGAATGACGTGACGACACGTGTGTAGAGCATATACAAACTTCTTCATTAATCACAACGCACATATGGCGTTGAGATTTTGGGGCCGTGTTTTCCTTTCATTATATGACCGCCTTACATGATCGGTGAAACGTAAAGCTAAGGGTTCTGGTATGGAATTCGACCCCGAAATTTGACACGTGCCCCTGCAGCTTCGCGAGCTCTCAGCGCCGGATGGGCTTGCCGGCGCTGCCGTTTCGCGGCATCGGCATCGACAGTCTGAATCCGCTCGTTTGCGTTGTCGTGCTGCAGCTGCATGCTCTGTGGGCCCACGCTGCGAGCCGTCATGTCTCCATTCATAACGAAGTGTTATATGCACCACAGTGTCTTCATTCGTAACGGCTCTCTCTCTCATGACCATGAGAGAGAGAGCCGGGAGCGAGCGAGGGTTTTGTAGCTCTTGGGGCGCCGCAGCGATAGAAACAGCGTGCCACGAGCGAAACCCGCGATCATTGTTCTCATCTTCTACGATCGGCGCGTTCAAGGCTGTCGCTCCCGGCGCGTGCAATTGAGCCAGGACAATGGTCATCGGAGGGACAAGGCTCGACCCTGAGGTGTTTCTCCCCTAGAGCCTTTTTCTCACAAAATTCAAGACCACTCCCGCAAAAGCCTGGAATCACTGGAAGCTCACGCTTTCATTTTTTATTTACTCTTCTTTTTATATTATCTTATTTATTTTTATTTGTTTGTTTGTTTGTTTGTTTGTTTATTTCCTTCATTTTTTCTACTTTCTTTGTTTTTTCGGCAGATCTGCAAGGGTTATAGACAGAAGAGTGTCACATGACACTATACTCATACGCATGCACAGGATTCCCCTTCAGGAGAGGCGAAAGTTCGTCGCAGCGCTTCCGCCTCCCTATACCACGTCAATGTGAGAAGCTGACTCTACGCCTCCATCTCACCCCTTCTTTATAATACCGTTGCATGTGGCTGGCTTTCGGCCGATGCTAACTTCTGAGGTTAAACGAATGGAAGAGGTTCAAAATAAATGCAGTATTAGGAGTTAAAATAACGCCAAGCACTCGTTGCAAACAATTGAAAATACGAGCACCACAACCGACATGTTCAACCGAGCAAAATGTTCGCACGCTAACCATGCCATTTGCGCGCGCAAATCTTGAAGATGCAGGCACACACGGATAAAAACATCGGCGACGTTGTCACAGCACATGCGGGGCAGACGAAGTCGTTGTACGGGGGCCAACAATACGAGATAGAACACCGAATTCATATCTTTTCAACGATTACTTGTAATGCATCCCACGAATGTCAAGTTTTTTGCTCGAACACTTAACGTTATGAACGAATTAGCACTCGCCATTTGGAATTAGCCGCTATGCTCTCTAAACGGTAATTTATGTCTTTCCTCCTGACATTTCTCACGGCAGCACACACGGCATCTCTGTCGGCATAAGGATAAAAATGCATCTAAACTATACAGAAGGGTCCCTTTTGTACTTATTGTGCCGGCTCCACGAACTCTTACGAAAGCGGTCATGAAACAAATTCGGAGAATGATTTGTGATGCCGCTAAAAGAGATGCCCCCCCAGTCCGAGCGTTCAAGAACCTCGGCAGACCAAACAAAACTTTTTTTGTTTTTCTGTCGAGCACACGAGACACAGAATAGCCGGGAAAAAAATAAATAAAAACGCAAACATAGCGGGGACAAAGGGCGACAGTGTCGTAAGTTTACAAACGACCCCCGTTCTGCGTCTTTCGAGATGCGCGCCTCGGTGCAAGAGAAAAACAACCAGTTAACGGGCGATTGCCCCGACTTTCTTTTTATCTTTCACTCGACACAAAGGAGAATGGAGAACCACATCTTTCGGCGCTTGCACAGAAGGAGCCTCCCCCCCAAAACAAAAACAAAAAGTTGGCCAAGCACATCGATCGATCGCGACAAGGCGGCTCTTCTTGAGGAGGAATCGACGACCCAACAAATATTGCGGCTTCGTAACAACCTGCCTCACAGAGGCTTCGGAACATAGCCGTCGCCGCGACGACCTCCGGCAGGTCAACACTCGCGCACCACCGTTTACGCTGTCCTGCTTTTAGAGTCAAAAGACTTTCCTTCATTCGTTCACAACCGACCTCTATGGAGGCGGCAACAAAGACAAACCCTGCCCCGCCACGGTGGTCTAGTGGCTAAGGTACTCGGCTGCTGACCCGCAGGTCGCGGGTTCAAATCCCGGCTGCGGCGGCTGCATTCCCGATGGAGGCGGAAATGTTGTAGGCCCGTGTGCTCAGATTCGGGAGCACGTTAAAAGAACCCCAGGTGGTCGAAATTTCCGGAGCCCTCCACTACGGCGTCTCTCATAATCAAATAGATGTTTTGAGACGTTAAACCCCACAAATCAATCAATCAATCAACAAAGACAAACCCCGCACCGTGCACCCGTTTTTGCACCCAAATGGGGCGTCTAATTGAAACGCTCTGTCACACGATGAACGTGCAGCGTTTATCGTGTGACAGAGCTTGTGAAATATCGCAAACCACCGGCCTCTGTGATCATTAAGTCATAGTGCTTTTCTGTGTGTGTGCTACGCGTGGGTGTGCGTGTGTGTAAGTGCAAACGTCATCGACTCTGGTCATTGTCGTCGAAGTCATTGGCTCTTGGTAAATCTACATACCCGCCGTCACTCTACTGCTGGCTGGGCCTGTATTTGAAGTTATAGCAGGCAGCTGTGGTCGACTTTACGCTGATATTTCTTTTTAGGAGAGACTGTTGTTTGTGCAGAGCCTTGTTAAGTTCAAACAATCATAGCGAACAGCGTTGCAAATTTGGACTATCTAACGCTTACTGTATGGGTTGCACAATGACACAAGCTGTGTAATGGCTGAATTCAGAATGCATGGCTTCAACAACAACAACAACAACAACAACAACAACAAGAAATAAAGAAAAGTTTATTACCATCTACTGTATTTTTGCTTGTGCGTTCGCTTTCTTCTTTTGCATCGTTTTTTATACCTAAATTAATAGGAAAATTTCGCAATCATAGTCTGCATGTTCCAACCTTTCTCCCACGTGATTTCAGAACAGACAACTGAAATTTTATTTTATTTATTTAGTACATACTGCGAACCATAAATGGTCCAAGCAGAAAGGGCACATCACATACAAAAAAAAACAGGAATAACATCAACCATACATGATGCAATTCACTCTACTTAATTCACAATGAATGGGGATCACATAATTTGTTCCGATCAGACACTCTCCGTGGAAAGAAAGAATACATAAAGACATCAGTTCTCGTGAAATATGGGGTAAGCAAATTGGGATGGTGATGTCGGGTCTGCCTAGTTGATAGGAAAGATAGATACGGTGATGGATCAATGGCGAGTTTATTGTTAAGTAACAAGAAAAGGAAATCAAGCCGTTGTTTGAGTCTGCGCGAAGCAAGTGGCCGAATGTCATTTGCAGTCATTAGTGCAGAGGGTGAATCAGATGGTAAGTATTTGTAGTATATAAAACGAACTGCTTTCCTTTGAACCCGCTCAATTTTATCAATATTAAACTTAGTGTAAGGATCCCATACTATGCTGGCGTATTCTAATTTAGGTCTTACAAGATAAAAATAACTAAGAAGCTTTACATTTGGAGGGCAGTTACGCAGTTTATGTCTTAAAAAGCCGAGTTTTCGGAGGGCAGCTGAACATATATGTTGTCTATGTGGACGTTCCAGGATAAATTATTAGTTATGGTCAAGCCCAAATATTTATAGCTAGTGACCTCTCTCAGGGATGACGGCCCTAGTTTGTAGATATAGTCTAGCGGATTTTTTGACGTGTCAGACGCATACAGACACTTTTGTCTACGTTAAGGGTCATTCCCCATTCATTACACCACTGATCTATATTGGAAAGATTTGTGTTAAGTTCGTTTTGGTCATGAACAGAGTAAATATCACGAAACAAAACACAATCATCGGCAAATAATCTAATTTGTACTGTAGGTGTTATGACATTGACAATATCGTTGATATAAATGAGAAAAGGCAATTGCCCCAGTACACTTCCCTGGGGCACACCTAAAGAGACATGAAGAGATGGTGAACGGTGGTCATTAATGGCAACAAACTGTGACCGGTTAGTAAGATATTCGGCCATCCAGTTTACGAGAATGTCTAGAAGGCCAATCCGCTTAAGTTTTTGAATCAGTTTATCGTGAGGTACTCTGTCAAACGCTTTACTGAAATCTAAGAAAATTATGTCAGTTTACCTATTGTTATCAATATTTAGCGCAAATGAGTAGATTACTGTAACCAATGGCGTTACTGTGCAAAACAAATGAAATAGGGTAAATATAAATAATTTTGTCTCGCTGTTTGCCCTCTTTCTCTTATCCACATTTATTACTGCCATATGAGCAACGTGACAGCAGTCGTGCCATTTCATCGCTTTTCACTCATGCCCTCGGCGTACCGGACGCGATGAAAATTCTACGACTGAACGCTTACTCCCGGACTTCTCTTTTTTTCTTCACGCATTCGTTACGCTTTCGCAACATTTTGTTTTATTTCCTCTCCTGATAGTCTCCAAATGTCGCTGAAATTGCGCCTGGATGCACCACCGGCGAGCAAATGTGCAGAGCTCGGTGAATCAAGCTATTTCGTAACACTTCGAACGAACAGTAAACAACGAAATTGCCTACTGCACAAAAGCTCAGCGCTGTTAGTGCCCCGTGCCGCAGAGCGATCTATCTATCTATCTATC